AAGAAAGAGGCTCCCACAGGCATAGCTATATGTGTGAGGGACTACTTTAGACCCAGACATTAGTGAAAAATGGGGGGTAGATAGCTGGGTTTTGGCGAAAGGTTTGTTCTGTATTTCTACACCCTTCTGGGTAAGTGAGCACATACATTTCCGTTCGAAATAGCCACTCCTTCCCGATGATGTGTGCATCCTCCCCTTCAGGGACACAAATCCCCCAGAATAACCATCCCAGAGGAACAGATGCTCTGTCTCCATGAGGCACTTCCAAATCTCAAATTGCCTGTGTCTCTGGGTTTCACTGAATGAACTCAGACCGAGCTCAGCTGCTATGGCTTGTTCTCAGTGCATTCGAGAGACTGTATGCATCTTAGCCACCAGGGCAGAGTGTCAAGTGTCAGGAAAGTGACACACTTCAATGAAAGGAATGTAATAAAAGCTAATGTGGGCAGTCTGGTTCCTTCTGGCATCCAGAGGCCAAATGACTCATGTTTTTGCTTCTGGCCAAGGACTAAATAATGAAAGGCCAAATGCGACCAGATCCTCTCATGTGCCAGGGAGTCCTGACCACACCTATGCCCTGCTACAACAGCCAACAGCTATGGAAAGCCCGCCTGACTGACTGATGATGGTGCTTTTTCTATTAAATGTTTAGACCAACAAGCAGCATTAGCTGCAAATTTGCTACTCAGAACACACACAGGAGCTCATCTGTTCATGTAAGTTCAGCTAATCAAGTTAAGCACTGGACATAGCGGATGTGGAGAGGGTGAACACTGTGGTTCAGAATGCAGGTTTAAGGCTCAAGACATAACCTAGTTTGTAGTCCTCTGATTCCCCACTACACATCTGAGTCTGGGGGTAGCCCTGAAGTGGGGTGCATGTGCCTGACAGCCAGGCCCCCAAATATGGCAAGGCTGTAACTATTTCTGTCTTTCCCACACCTGAGGCCGAAGAGAAGATAGGATAGCAACTGACTGTGGAGCCTGAGGCTTGCCGGCTCCAGTCTCCCGTCAGCAGAAAATGATGAGCAGGCAGAAGACAAATGTGCCCTTTCCAGAAAGAAATATAAAGGACAAAAGGTTTCACAGACCTAGTCACTCACCAGGCTTTTCTTGAAACCCCAAAGAAGAAAAGGCAGAGTTTGCGGTATTTATAGTTGACAAAAGTCTTTCTCCACATGGCCCAGAAAATGAGGTGCTGTGATAAGGGCTTCAGAGAGAGCTATTCTCAGTCTCTGCCAAAGCCCCCAACACACACGCACACACACACACACTCATATACATAGACACACATACACACAAACACACACACTCATATACACATAGACACACGTATATACAAGCACATTCACACAATACATTCATATACATACACATATACACACAAATACACACACTCATATACATACACATAGACACAAACACATACACACACTCATATACATACACATAGACACACACGCACGCACACACATACACTTCCCTAGGAGGTATCAGACAAGGATGGAGCCCCGGGTGTTCTCATAGACACCTTATAATGTAAAGATGGACTGGAAAGAACAGAAAAGTTGCAATGGGATATATTTAAACCCAGATATGACCACACTAATAACACAAACACCCCCTTACCCCTTCCTTAAAATTCAACTAAGTTCCCAAATAGAATGCCAGGATTACATTATAAAGAGTCCCTTTGTTTGCCATATCTCCAGAGAACAGAGCTTCCCCCCAGCTATTCCAGGCATAGCGTATATGTCTATCAAGAACAGAGATGATGGGACATGCAGATCTCTGCAGCAGAGGGACTCTGGACATTGCAGTGTTGAGAATTCAGCGGGAGGCCATCCCTTTGTCACCAGCGCTGCTTTGGAGAATTGGGCTGGGTTCTTTTGGCTGACTGTGGTGGAAGGGATAGCAAATCACTTCTGGTTTCTGAGGAACCAGATAATGATGCTACCATGGCAACTGCCATCAGTTGCTCAAGCTGACAGAGCAATAGCCTTTGCATAGGCCTCATTAGGGCAGGGTTCAATTTCAAGGGGGAGGGGAAGAAACTGGGATGGGAAAAGGTTATGTGGATAGTGGACATTCGCTGAGGCAAACCCATGGGACACCAGAATAAAAATTATAATGAGACAGATACTTGAAAAGTCTCCAGACAAGCCCAAATTTGGCTTCCTGTTGGCCTGATCCCCTGACCATGTAGACTATAGGCTTGGTGACTTCATTCTGCTCTCTGCCACAGGTTGCTGGCAGATGGGACTCTTGGGAGTCCTGTCATTTGTGATAGAAGAGCTGATTTCTCTGGTGTTCTCAACAAGGAAAAGGCAAGTGCAGAGATAAGAAACATAGGTGTATGAGCATCAGAACGTGTTAGCAGAACCTTAGCAAATGTGACAAAAGCCAAAGGGGAGAATGGGAGCTCACGCTATAGGCACAGAAACCAGAGAGGGAACAGACATGGCAAACAGGAAGGATGACAACCGGAGAGAATGATGGAGAAGGATGAACAAGGACCATCTACATTTCAGAGAGAAATGAGCTGAAAGTTCAAAATATGGTATCGCTAAAATCAAATAATAGATCATAGGTCTTGATCCATCCCATAAACGTGTATCTTCCCCTAAGTATCCCTGACAACAGAGTTTTCAGCTCTGGGATCATGGAGGCTTCCCTTGCCACCACCACTGCCATGGTTCAAAGAGCACAAAAGTGAATGAGACAGATGCCAACCCTAGAGCACACTGGTGTCAAATGAGTCCACGGAGAAACAGATGGCCACAGGGCATAGGACAGGAAGCAAGGCTTCCTCTGAAGGACACTTCCTATTGTCACCTGCTGGTTGTTAGGAGCACAGACTCAAGGCTGTGGGAAAGAGAGAGCTGGGTGGGAAGCAGTAAAATCTTAGACCAGCTAAGCCTTCATCCATCTTGAACTATATGTGTAAATTCCACACCAACATAAAGTTTATTCCCACGGCATTTGACAGCATGAAAACCTAGAAGACTTAACATCTGCTGACCACTCACACTGACGGCCCCAGTGGGAAGTACTCTGCATACCCTATTTTCTCTCATTTTAGAGGTTAGAAATGTAGGTTAGGATAATTAATATTTTGCTACAATGGGTCAAGGACATGAAACTGGGAAGGAGAAGGGCTGGGATTCAAACTGGGCTCAGCCTGACCCCACAACTGTCACCCTTCCTCATCTGTGCCGTCACCTATGAACTCTGCTCTTCTTCAAGGTCTGGTGAGTTCTGTCCCCCTACCCATTACTCAGAGATAGAGTGTGCTACTGATACCAGAGTGAGAGAGGAGCAATACCTAGTGATGCACACAAATGAATGGATAGAATGAAAAGAGGACTGGACCCTTTAACAGCCCAATGGGCGTATTCTGTCTTTAGCAAACAACAAAGTGGGCTTTCTTAAGGCAAGGGCAGACCCTATTGAACCACGGGGAAGACAAACTGCGAGTCCCTTGGTACAGACAGGGTTGCCTTTCTTGGTATGTTGCTGTGAGAACCCATACAGGTCTGGGTATATGGAGAGATACCATGCTTTTAGGGAATCTCTTTGGGAACGGTTCAGGCACATTTATAGGACGCTTTCGTCCTGTGAGAGCGAAGGTGACTCTGCATAGCTCTAATGGGGTGGAGATGTCTGTGCACATGAGGACAAGACACACTGAATTACCTTGCTACCACCCTGTCTCAGGATCACAATCATCTTCATTTCTGGAAGATCTTAGACTTTAACCCAGCTGGGAATTCTCACCTGGCTCTTGACACCTTATTTCTTGCCCTAACTGTTCAATTGCCAGTGAGGATCAGGGATAGAAGCTGCCAGTGCTTGGCAGAAGTTGAACAGAGGACAATCCCTTTCTAGCACGTTGGATATGGGAAGGGTAAACCTATGGAAACTTCTTTCCCCCTCCCCATATGGCTGCCTTCCATGAAAACAGCACCCAAATGCTTCCTCCTCCCTATCAGGAGAAAGTGTATCTAGCCTTGCTTGGAAGGCAAGCCCCCAAAAGGATGGCTTTGAGGCCTCCAACATGCCAATAGATCAATACGTGGGGTTAATAAATTTCCCCAATTGTCATGAATATGAGTTGGTTTCCGACATACTAAGAACATTTTCTTAAGCATGTCTTCAAGGAAGATTTGGAAAATCAAGGGAGATTTGGAAAATCAAGAAAGATTTGGAAAATCATTCCTTTTTGAGCTCTCATGTATCCATATGTTTTTTTTTTAATTTTTAAGTTCATTTTTACATACCAACCATAGTTCCCCTTCCCTCCCCTCCTCTGGCTCCCTCATCTCCACTTCCTCCCCCACCCAGCGCTCCACCACTCCTCAGAAAGGGTAAGGCTTTCCATGGGAAACCAACAAAGCTTGGCACAACAAGTTGAGGCAGGACCAAACCCTTTCCCCCTGTATCAAGGCCGAGCAAGCCATACAACCGTCACCCACATGCAGAGGGCCTAGTCTGGCCCCCATGCAAGCTCTCAAGTTGGCAATCTAGAGTCCTTGAGCTCCCACTAGCTCTGGTCAGCTGTCTCTGTGGATTTCGTCGTCATGATCTTGACCCCTCTTGCTCATATAATCAATCTCCCTCTCTTCAACTGGACTGCTGGAGCTCGGCCTGGTGCATCCATATGTGTTTTATATCCCTGAACTAACTAGACAGAGACCCTCCCCATGCCCAAGATTTTGAGATCCTCAACTCTGCTCTGGCTCTACTACATTACTCTTCCATGGTGACCTGTCTTCTACTGATGCTCTTCAATCTTGCTTCCTCATTTAGGACACATGAACCGGAGCTGTAAGACCTTAAGGACTCTGTTGAGAACCATTGGCCAGCAGACCCCTAGAGTGTCGCTCTTAGGCACCACTCAGAGCATTCACTTCCCAGGTGGACCCTGGAGATAGGCTTAAGTGAACCAGGCCTCCAGGTAGAGGAAAGGCAGGGGAATGGGACAGAAAAGAATCTACTTACGCCAGAGCAAAGGCTACCAATGCACCAACCACTACCACAAAGTCCAGGATGTTCCAGAGGTCTCGGAAGTAGGATCCATCCTGCAGGATCAAGCCTTGGTCTATCATCTGCAGGACAGGATTTGAACAGATGAGGCCAATGGTTGTAAGTAAAAGCTACACCTGGCTTTGCTTCCTTATCGCAAGGGCTCTACTGCCACTGTCTCCTAGTTAAGCCCACCCTGGGCCTGAGGAGCAAGGAGGGTATCCAGCAGGCATTCTAGGAGAGGACTGAAGACTCCTCTCACAGTCACACAAATTCTCCAGTCTACAGTGAGGATGCAGCCCCCTTCCTATAGTCTAATAGGATTGGATTAGATTCTTCTGCCATTATAGAATCCTATCCTCTCTCCTGAGTATCCCAGAGCTCCAACACTGCCACATACACATGGATGGATAAAAGCACCAGATAGGTAAAACTCAGAATGGGACAGTCCTGTTGGGATTTTAGGCACCTAGAGGCAGAGGGTGTGGTTGGAGTTAGACGAATCTGAACTTACATCTCCCTAACCCATTGCTTGGACATGTACTTATTATAAGACCAGAAGTGCAATGTGCAGAAGTACATAGTCCTCAAGCTGTGCCTACCTTACTACCTGCCTCCTGTTCAGGCCAGGAGAAGAGATATACATTAGCCAATCACATCCACACAGCCATGCCTTCCCTCACCGGACACCGACGCCAGAGAGGGCTCTGCAGAGGCTCTCTTAATGCTGCCATGGACTAGGAGATGGCATTATTATTTAAGGGGGAAGGGCCTTAAAACAGACAAGTGGTATAACTGAAATCCAGAGGCCAGGTTTTCTCTGGAAGATTTTACCTTTATAACCATCTCAAAGGTAAACACGCCGGTGAAAACATAGTCGAAATATCTCAGGACCTGTAAGACACACATGAATGAGACAGAGAGGACCATGTAAGGCTGCCAAGCTTTACGCACACCTTCCCGCTGACCTTTGCCATTCTGCATGACAACCCCATCTCCCATACATTCCCACCCCGAAACACAGTGAGGAATTTTTCCTACTACCTATAGCAGGGCTGGGAAGTGAACATAAGGAAGAAGGCACCAGCGAACCTGTTTGAGCCGCATGGTCCACAGCCTATTCCTTCTCTTTGGTCATAACTTCTGGGGTCTGAATTACCCCCATACAACTCTCTTTCAGGCTCTGTGTGGTACCTAGGTGATGACTCAGTGGCTTGTGGTTAAGCTGCAGTCCTACCGCATCCACACACATCACCTATGGCTCTATGTTAGATCCTACATCTGGGCCCTCCAATAGCAGCAGAATCCTTTCAGAAGCCTGGCTAGCTCTCAGTGTTAAGCCCGCTGCGGCAGCTTAAAAACAGTGGTATGGGTGTGGATGTGGGGACTTCTCTAGAAAGACCCTGTACTTATAGAGACACAGGTAACTGATCCATCCTCCTCACCCCCCACCCCAAACCTTTCTGCTACCTTATCTTGGTTCACCTCTGCTGCTAGAGGGGAAGGCCTGGGATGGAGCAGACCCCAAGGCAACAAGAAATATCACCAACCACCCTTGTGCACTTACTTTATTGCGCTCCGAATTGGTCAGGACAGGGTCCTCGGCTGCCAGGGCAATGCTGCTGGCCGCAATCACCAGGAGGATGCACATCTCAAAGTAGCGTAGGTTCACAATGTAGTGGCAGGCCCTGCGGATCCTGCGGGGATGGGAGGGGAGAGAATCCTGCTGAGCTCACCCTATTGAGCTTGCCCTGCATCATTCCTATGCCTGCCCCTACATTGACCTCTTCCAGATAGCCAGACCTTGCCAAAGGAAGTCACCAGGGAGAGCAATTTAATTTCTCCAGCACCGCCCTTTGATTCCAGTCCCCAGTGGAGAATGGTAATGAGATTGGTTAGAGGCTATGTCATGCAAACCACGATCATTATCTGCACACGAGTGAGCCATGAGGAATAGCCACGTGAGACTACACGACCTCCAGTGGCATGTGGTCCCCTCTGTGGCATCTCTGTCTTCTCCCCTGAGCAAGGAAACTCGGACCTGCCTAGAAAATTCTAAACAACCAAGAAACACAAAAACATCTCGATTCTCAAACCCCTTCTCTGCTACAGTTCTGGATGACCTGGCAACGGAACCCAGCTTCTTCCCATCCCACAGGCCTGCCTGAGCACTGCCCAGAAGGCCACTAAACATCTCCTTGTCTTCCTTCCTCAGAAGCTGACCCACATGACAGTTCCAGGATATAAGGCACAGGCTCTTCTCTTGTACCATATTTCTTGAATCTAACATTCTAGACTCTTCTCTGATATTCCTTCTCCATGCTTCTACCTCCACTCTGGGAAAGGAAACTTTTATCAAAACTCCATGTGCAGAATAGTGGTACCCAAACCCTAAACTCCAGTAGAGGCCTGACTATCTTTAGAGTCATCTGTCCTTTTCCAGAATGTATGGTGACATCCTCGAGGCAATCCCCTTCATTCTCCCTGTTTAACTACTACTGATCAAAGGGTAGGAGAAGAGTCCTTTTCCATGGCATGTCTCCTGTATTCTGGCTTCAGTTACCCTGGAGACTGTGGGCACAGAGATAAGAGGCTGCTCAACTAAATATTTGCCCCATCTCACTTACTGGGCCCCAAATCTTTCCATATCTAGCTATCCTCTGCCAGGAAGCTTCAGGAAGACGACAGGGTTTCATCATCCCCGGCTGGCTCAAATCCTGGCTGTCTGTCCTAGTACTAAATGGGGACACAACAAGAGCATGGCTCACGGGTTAGTGGTGCTGAAGATGAACATAGAGCTATGGGGCACCATGGCTTTGCCAGTCTCTCGCTTCTCCTTCTTCTTTTTCTTCTCCACCTCTTCTTCTTCCTCTTTGGTCTCTGCCTCCTTCAAGGGACTGGCTTCTCCATCAGTCTTGTTGCTAACTGCAAGCAGAAAGGTTTAAAGCTTCAGAAACCTGCCGGCAATATGGTTTCTGGTTTGAGTTGGTAATAGCACAGAGGATAGGAGGGATGCCAAGGATGACCCTGGGAAGGTACCCTGATAGTATCAGGGGTTCCACCCCACACTACATCAACTCCTTCTCTTCCCATTATCCCCACCCTTCCCTACATGTTATATACTATAGCCTTTTATGGCTCAACTTTCATAGTTGAGGAAATAATATGGTTATCGCAGCTACAAAGCTTACATAATTTAGAAATTATATCTAAACTCTACATCCTTTTAAGTTTACCCATTGAACTTCCATATCACTAACCCTTAAGTGGCCTATATAATCATTCCCATTATACAGATGGGAAAACTGAAGTTCAGAGAGTCCACATACCTTTCCTAAGGTCTTACAGCTAAATTTAAATCCTATACACTTTTGTGCAATCTCTGCAAAGGAAGATTTCAAGAAACCATTTCTCTCTGTGTTCTGTCTTTCCGGCTGTACCTTCCCAGCATGATAGATATAGATATGAAAATACAATATTCATGTGAATATAGACCCATGACTGTGTTCCAGGACCGAAGGGGATGAAGCAGCCATGGGTCACGTAGCATGGGTCAGGGGGCTATTCTCTGTCTCTATGCTGAAGTCAGGGGACAGATGGCTGTCATGGTAGAGAGAAGGCTTGGGAAACCCTCACCCACACCCCCAGTGCTCTGTGACTAAGGAGCGGTACTGCTCTGAGACTCGGGCTAAGTAGCAAGCCTTTGTGGAACTGGTCCATGGTAGGGCCTTCTAACAGCTAAGTGATAGGGTGAACCTAAAATCCTCTGCCACACACTGTACCTGTGACAAAGGCCACACACTAGCCCCAGCAGGGAAACAGAGAGAGGGTCAAGCTAACTTGCTTCTCATAAAAGAGGCTTTAAAGCACTTCTTATTTAATAAAAACATAAAATCAGACAGACATTAAAAATGGCTCTGGACCTGGAACCCTGAAACACGCCCACATCAATCCCAGCAAGCCCTGAGTATGGGAGCTTTAGTTTTTAAAGCAGACCTGGCATTTCTGAGGGTAGCGGATACTAAGCAGAGTGGAAATGAAGCAGTGGCAGAGGGGCAGGCAGGGAGACCAGGAGACTCGTGTGAAAGAACAATGTGGAAACAGAAGGAAAACGGGCACGCATGGAACCGCATGGCTATCACCTGTGACCACAGGGCAGCGGCGGGATTAATACAGGGATGCGGTGTGGGGATGGGAGCAGGATGTGGATTAATGCCAGGATAAGAGTAGGGGGCACATTACAGGGTGTGGGACCAATGAAGAGATGACATACAGGGACAGAATAAAGTGCATGGCTAATACAGGCAGGAGGTGCAGGACTCAGGTCATAATGAGGAACGGGATTAAAGCAGGAAAGGGACTGAGGGACAGGGCAGAGAGGAGATAAAAGGAAGGGATTGGGGTAGGACAATGGAGGCACGGGAACTAATGTAGACATGAAATATGAGGTCAGGGCAGTGTCAGGAATAACACGAATTATTATATAACACGTAGGAGTGAGGTGTAGTTCAGGAAAAGGTGGGTCATAGAGCCAAGTAGCATAGTAGGTTAAAGGCTTTCCCCGGTGTTCCCTGCTAATATTTCATAGATTAACATCTGCTTGAAGGAATTTTGATGGGGAAGCGTGACTGAGAGCTCCTAGGAGAGAGACAGTTGATAAGAGTCATAGAGCCATGAAATGTTAGTGCAGGGATAATCTCCAGGGACAGTCTAACTCAGCACTCTCCATTATATGTGACACAAAGGCCTCCAGAGATGTAGCGATGCTTCTGAGCCCACTGACTGAGCAGAGCAGGGACCAGAGCTAGAGGCATTCTGCTAGTCCACCCACAGGGGTCCTTCCAGATCATCTAGGAGGTCACAAGGGCTTTCTATAGAGCTTTATTAGAGGAACCTCAGAGCCAGCTGCCCCTGCTGGAGCGGAGGGTGAGGGTGACTGACAGAACAGGGGCTGTGCTCACTGTGCACCACTGTTGAATCCACCAAGGGGTCAACATCAGGGATGGCGACCGTGACGCTGGTGCTCTCGGTGGTAGCCTTGTCCATGTTGGCTGTCATGCAGGAGAGGTCAGGCTCGCTCTGGCTAATGCCCCGGCCCACGTCCAGCTGGACGTCCCCAAGCAGGGCTTGCTCGCTGCTGCCTTCAGCTTCCTGCTCTGCCAGAGCCGCATCCTTCCCCACTTCCAACTCAGGCTGGGGCTGGACTAGAGGAGTTTCTGCCTCATCAAGAGCTCCTACCAGTCCAGAGCCCCTGGGTACCATCAGACTGTTGGTCCTGGGAATAAAGAGCAGGAGACGGCCATGTTTCAGAAGCTGTCCTAGAATCGGTGATGTATCTGGCTCAAAAGGAAAGGGGAGAGGAGCAAGAGCGGGCCTCCTGGAGAGCACACAGCCTGAGGTATCTTCCATCTCTATCCAGACATACATAAGGGGCAAACACCTCTGGGCCACGCCCACTGACTCATTCCCACCTCTGACCCCACTCTCTACAGAGATGCTCTGGAAGAGAACATCATTTTCATACAGATAGATTGCCTGTTATACTAAGCCATGCCTTTTAGATGGTGTTTTGGCATCTTATAAAAGGGGACACCAGGGCCCATAAAGGTTTCTGTCACAGAATTCCTCACACCAACCTGAGCTCTAGCCCTGCGGGGCCCTCCTGGGACTTACTTACCTTCTCAAGTCCTGAGTTCTTTCCTCTTCATGGATGGTCGGCTCCTTGCTTCTGTGGCTGCCCTGAGGTTCATGTTCTTTCTCTCCCTCAATGGACACCCCTTCATCCAGACTCCGCTCCTGGCTGGCGGACCTGCTCCGTGACACGGAGGCAGACTCCTTGCCCTCAGTCCTGACGCGGCGATGGCGGCTGCGCCTCTGGCTCTGCCTATGTCTGGCTCGGTCCTCAAAAGTCACCACGGTCTCTCCTCCCCCAGCTTCCTGCTGGGTCGGGTCACAGTTTCCATGACAGGATCTGGGCAGCCATGGTGGCTCCCGTTTTCCCAAGGACAAGGGGCTCCTCTGGTTGTCCAGGGCACTGGTCAGGGCCCCTACACTGCCCTTGAGGGAACCCCCGCGGCTGATGCGCTCCTCTTCACACTTCTCAAGACCCAGGCCCAGGGCTAGGCCCTCAATGGGCCTGGGTCTCCGATAGAGGCTGGGGTGAGCGTTGAGTGGGTTGAGAGGGCTCAGTGGATTGAGTGGATTGAGGGGGTTCATTGGCGGGGCCTCTTCTTTGTTGAGGGCTTCTTGGCTAGACATTTGCATGTGCCTCCTCAACTGGCTGGTGCGTTGTTCCCATACAGACATGTGGTGCCGGCGCCTCCGCTCCCTCCTAACAAAGGAGAAGTGGGGGTGGGGGGCTACAGTCAGAACCTGATAGCACAGGCCCGGATTAGAGATGGCGGCTTACAGGAGCCATGAATAGGGATCATGGGGTGAAGGAGCTAAAGGGGAGGCCAGGATCCCAGACAAGAAACACAAAGATGCAAGGAGCAGAGTGGCCACACATGAGAGAGTTGTCAGACCAGTGCCTCCAAGTCCAGTATTGGGTACTTTCCCCTCCAGTCCCTGCTTCTGTGGTGCAGTAGTAAAGGGTGAATGAGTTCGGGACTGAGCTCCATATCCCCAAGACCAGTGAGAGGGGCAATACAGAGACTCATCCGGCCTTCCTTCCCCAGCACGCCTTTGACTGAGGGTATCAATTGGGGTCTCTTATGTACCCACCAATGGCCCTTCATTCAAGGTCAGAGATTCCCCTCCTCTCCCCACCCCTCCCAGATTTTAGCCTGGAACAGCACGGGCTGAGATGCACCTTGTTCAGCTACTAACAGAGATAATGACAGTGGCAAGCAGCCCCATGTGCTAACAGTGGCAGCATCCCCTGAAAGTAAAGGAGCCATGGGCTTCTAGAACAACGACTAAGGAAACCCATGAAAGACTGGGCGTGGATTGCTGGTGATCTCTGTGAATACAAACTATTGTTGAGGACTTCAGTCCCGAGGCCTAACAAGTTGTCACATGGCAGCAGGAACACACAAACATGGCATGGAGAACACAGGCGTGGGCTCCTCGGCTGGAAGGGTGGACACCTACTCCCTCCCTCCCGTGCCTGTGGGCACATGCACGTGAAACCACACGCGCCTGCACTGAGGCCCACACAGAGATGTACACAACTGCCTACGTGTCCTGCCAGCTCCAGTTACCAGTGTGAGCACATGCCCACTGTCAGGCCAGACACAACAGCACACAACACGCCGTCACATACTGTAGACACACTGGTAAAAGCACACACTGAAAGATGCCAAGGGGCACGTCCACAGATGTGCATGGGACACACACACACACACACACAACACACACCAAGGCACACACTGACGTTTATACTCGGTATCACTTGGTCCACGGGCAGGACAGAAACACATCGTCCCCATGCCCACACAGAACCACTCCCAAACACGCAGACCGGTACACACATACAGGTGGCTGCTGCGCGGCTCCCACATCGACATGTGGTGTCTTCTCCTTCTGTCTCTTCTGGGAAAGAAAAACGGACAGGTTCAGTCCACCCCGACCTCCAGGACCTGCAAGCCCCACAGCCTCTGGCAGACATCCAGAGGGAAGCCAGATTCTCTAGCATGTCCACGGGGCTTCCCTGCATCTTCTTGCCCTCTGGAGACTCCCCACCTACAGAGCTCCCACAGCGACTTCCGGGTCCTTGTTATGTGCAGCTTACACCGATCTTGTTTCTGAAGCATGCATGCAGAGTCCCAGAGGACAGACTACTTCTTACAGGCTATAGCTCTCAATGCTTAAACACCAGTTCCCGCCGAGCTCCCATGACTACCCTCTCGAGTTCTGCTTTGATGAGCACTTGTTTCCCCCTCCCCAGTCATTTCAAGGACAACAAGGCACATTCGCCCAGGTAGGACCCCTTCCAGCTCATCACTCCCACAGCAGATCCTGGCTCAGTTTTATGGAACGTAGAGGAGACAAATGGTCTGTCATGTACACCAGTGGGGCTATAGAGCAACCCAAGGCCAAGGCCATGGCTATACTCCAGAGGCCACAGAATGCGAGTGGTGCCCTTCAAGGTTTACCCTGTTTTGCTGGGTAAAACACAGAATTGACCTTAGGCTGGTTGCATGAAATATCACTTCTACATACACATTGCATCCTTTCAGATTCAAGTTTGAGGAGCAGTCAGAGTGATGGGATGGATGGAAGTTGCAAAAGTAGAAATGAGTGTGTCAGCACAGGGAGATGGCTGGGGTAGAGCAACTCATCTGAGAATTCCCAGAGTGAGCCTGCTCTAGCCCTAGAACTGGAGGACCCTGGTGCAGCACAGTGCGGCCTGCTGGGTATGGGAAGCAGGGACATGATTTGCCTGTTCTGAGAAGACTCATCAGTGCAGAGCATGCCAGGCAAATGAACTCTGCCCTACTGCCCTATCTCATGCACTTGGAGGGGAGCCTCAGAACAGGGCAGGACTGAGGAAGCAGAGGCAGCCAATCTAAGCATCTATGGGGATCTGGAAGAAACACAAATGAGCTTGTATGTACACAAGTACTCATTAGTGTAGACGTCATTGCAGAGATGCTGTGAGCTCCTCAACAAAACACATCTCCCTCAGCATCGGCAGCCTGTGCCAAAGCAGGGCACAGGAGAGGTGGGAAGCATGGGTAGCATATAGAAATAGATGCACACACTCTAGACAGGCAACAAGCACACCCACCGCGAAAAGCGTATCATGTCATCTACGTGAAAATTCTCAAGTATTCAAATTCCAGCCTTCTAAGCGCATGTGTAAGTATATGGGAGGATTCTCTCTCTCTCTTTCTCTCTCCTCTCTCTCGTCTCTCCCTCTCTCTCACACAGTTTTACTTCGTTTCTCTCACACACGTACTTTCTGTCTCTAGTAGGCATTCAGTTTCTCACACACATGCATACTCTCTTACCCACGTATACACATACTTATGCACACACACACACTCCAAGCAAGAGAAACTAATCTTTGTCACATAGTCAGGCATATACTTCACACTTGACTCCACCTGTCTACTCATGTAGTAATATTCCAGGTTGCTGTCATGCTCCAAAACCACATGGAGAAGCAGCCACTAACTCTAACTTGTGTGCACGTGATCTGTGTACACTTCACAATAGCCGTGTAAAGCAGAAAGAGCAGGAGTCCTCCTTCCCATCCCAAACGTGGGCAAACAGAGGCAAACTCTGAGGTCCTAAGTGGTTCTCTTTAAGGCCACAGAGCATGTTAGTGACAATTAGGGCTACCACTGGGACACTTGGGTTTGTGCCGATGCTCTTTCCATGGCTATCCATGGCAGCCACAACTCTGCTTGCCGGAAATCAGTTGCTGAGAGGCACACCCGAGCAAGGCACACATCCCCCGAGATCCCTCCGAGCAGCGGTCCACACGACATGGCATATGGACGGCAACCAAGGCCCTGCTGTCATCCTACTGTGGATGTCTGCAGCACCTACTCCACCTTCATTCTGCACCGCTGCTCGCTGCTCAATTCCCACAGCCCCGTGCCTACCCACATCTCATTCATTCCCCTCTCCTATAAATAGTTTCTACTCTGGGCCAATCATCATTCCCAATCACATCCCTCCAAAGCCTCCTCTCCCCCAAGCTTCCTCGTCTCAGTAAATAGAACCACCCACTCCTGGCGGCAGCAAGTCCTACCCATCTGCAGTTCTGGATACCTGTGTGTGTGTGTGTGTGTGTGTGATTTTAGCCAAAATTTATGAGTTCAGAGGAGCAGGGTAGAAATTACTCAGAACCAGAGAATAGTCTGAAGAGGAAGCAGTTGTTTTGGTATTCCCCAATCAATTTTTAAGGACTTCTATTTTTCTCAGAGTTGCAGAAAAGGGACTTAGAAGGCAAGCCTTCTCAGCTTTGGGAAGCAAATGCAAGCCAACAGTAGAGAAAGGAGGCCCCCCATAGAATGGTGAGCGTCACAATGGATGAGGTAGAAACTGCTCAGAAGATCCTCCATCCCATTAAGACTTGGCCACCAAGAACTCTTCTCTCTCTGGCTTTAAGCTGGTTGACAGGGACCAGTAGGCTCAGGATATATTTTACTTCTCAGTGGGTTCCCACTTTTCCCACGGATATGACAGGACCCCTCACACAGGTCTCCTGCATGCCTTGATTATCGTCAGGAATTCTGTGGTTCTTTTCTACTGGCTCCCTTTACCGTGCAGAGGCCAGGCAGGACTGCACTGAGTCCCCCAGTTCTCCAACGGAGGACAGATCCTGGCTGGACCCTGGGAGAGTGATCCTAGCTCCCCTCCATATCAGCTTCCCATTCAGTCTCAAGTCTCTTCCATCTGGACACTGTTTCTACGAAGCTACTAGAAAAGCCTCTAAATTAGCTTCTGTTTTGCCAAATCCAGTAATTTCTTCTCTGTCCCCATTGGGAGTGCTCCAATAGCATGCAGTACCCCTGCTCCCTCCCATGTATGCTTCTAGGACACCACTCTCCTCTGTTACTTGGCCCCCTAGCTACACTCCCTTGCCTCTTTCCCAGCTTCTCCTCTGCCAGAGAAGCGCATGCTCAGGCTCTGTCCTCAGCTCCACTCTTCCCCTGTCCCCACTCTTCCTGGGTCATCTCACCCACACTGATGGCTTAAATACCATCTAAATGCAAATGACTTCCCCCAAATCTTTATTTTAATCCCAACTTCTCTTCTATGCTCCAGACACGTGTAACCAATAGCCTATTCACACACTTGGATGCCTTAGAAACATCTCACATTCAATATGGCCAAAATGAACTCTGGATTTCCGTTATCTCTGTGAAGTACCAACAAAACTGCCCACCTTCCATGCAGCTGTCTAGGTCCCCAAACTATAAAACTGGTGAAAATTTTTTATTTCTTCTCTTTCTGTCTTTTTTTTTTTTTTAAAAAATTCTTATTCCTACTGCATTTAACATTTAATCCATGAATGTATCCCACTGGCTCACATTCTAAAATCTAGACTGAGTAGAACTGACATCTCCTCCGTGGCTACTTTCCTTGTCTAACTCATCAACACCCACTTTACGCTAACAGCAGCTGCATCTCACTGCTTCTATGCTGGGTCCTCATAACCCATTTTCTACAGAACAGAGTGATGCTTTAAAGTGGAAACCACACGATGCTACATCCTTCCATGTTAAGTATCCCCGTGATTTCAACTTGAATACATGCTAAATCCTTCACCTGAAGGTTAGGACCTCTGCACCGGCTGGTGCCAAGTTCACTGCTCTCAGTATCTTCAGTCCCCCTGGGTCTCTATAAGCCACACTGGAACTTGCTGGGGGACAGTTCCTTCAGCACACCATACAATTGCCTTCTGTATGTTTAGGTTTCTATTTATACAGAGTGTCTCTTAGATTTATCTAAGTGGTGCCCCCCCACCAATATTCTGATTACCTGCCCTATAACGGTGTACTATGGACAGTTCACCAATACAGGGGGTGCCTTCCTGCGGCTGATTATTACAGGCATTGAAGACTTAGATTTAGCCCCAGAAGCCCAGGGTCAGCGTTTGGATGGCCTACTCACTCAATAGAAGGCATGTTGGGTGCAGACATCGGGCTAACCTCCTTGGCCTTCTGCAGTGCATGTTTCTGGTTGAAGGCTTCTTCCTCCTCCTGTTCGTCCTAGACACAAAGCAGAGAGAGTTTGTCTAGGATTGACATAAATAGATTGGCTTCCTTCAACCCTTCCCAGGAGCCCCAAAGCCCAAGCAAGATGAGGTAAGCAAAAAAAAAAAAAAAAAAAAAGGTGTTAAACCCTGTCATGGAGGTTCCCTGCATGGCATATGGGTTTCTAGGCAGAGATCAAAGTTCTTCACCTATATTTTTTAGGTGTTTTACAAAGAGAGAGATGGAAACTGTGTGTGTGTGTGTGTGTGTGTGTGTGTGCAACTTCCCATTGAAGGGAGAAGAAGGCATTGCATTCCCCTGGAACTGGAGTTACAAGCAGTTGTGAGCCACCCCATATGGTGCTTACAGCTAAAGCTGGGCCCTCTGGAACACTTTTAACTGCTGAGCATCTCTGCAGCATCACCTCAGCTATATTCTTGCTTGAAGCCATGACAACAAGGAAGTAAGTCCAGTTAGTTGATAGAAGTATTCTGATATGCACATCTCCCTAGCCTGCGATGGTTTCCACATGCAGTATTCCACTGGAATTTTGCTGTAATGTGGTGGGGCAGGTAGGCAGGTATGTCTTGTCCATCTTATATCTGCGAAAGCTGGTATTAATGGAGGTCAGTACGTCCATCAAAGCTAAACCAGCCACTAATGGAAAGATGCAGTTTTCAAAACTGGTTTTTCAAATACTAAAGCTCATATTTTCCTTTCTGTATTATAGAGATGAGGGTTTTAAGAGATGTGAGAAGACTAGGCAACATATCATAGATGCAGGGGGAAAGTTCAGAAAGCCTCAAGATGTTGTGTACCTTCCTAAAACCAAATTTACATTGTGCAGCAAGGATTTTTACCCATTTTGTAGATCACCCCACTGTAATTAATACTGTCTCCTCCCAGGGAGTGGAGAATTCCATGAAAGAAAGGGACTTTGAGACTGACAGTATCTGATTTCATAGAAACTTTCCTAGAGTGACCATGGCCGACGGATTACCCTGGTAGCCTTAGTGCAGGAGCTGCGATGCCCCTGAACACTCTTACATCCAAAGCCCTTGAGGATTTGGTCACATAGTTGAGGTCACACTGACACAGGTCGTAGTAACAGAGGCAGAGCTTAAAATCTAGAGTTCTACTATTTTCCTTGGTTTTGCATTCTGTAATTCTGAGAATGACCCATGTGAGGGCTCACAGAGATTTTCTATATGCCACAAGAGACCCATGCTGAACCAAAGCTCAGTAACTCAGTGAAAGTAAGCCAGGCTTCCCACATGGGTGTGTGACTCTCCAACCATCTAAAAGATGGTTAGACATTCCAGAAGATGACTCTCTTCAATATAGTGCTTACCTTGGTCAATTCCTGGGCATTGGCCAGATTGTCCACAGCGATGGCCAAGAATACGTTCAGCAGTGTGTCTGTGGGTATGGGTTAAGGGTGGGCAGGCAAGCAAAGGAAAAAGCTTTAGCAAGTCTGAGAGGGTCTCTCCAGAACTTTTCTGCCTGAACACTGGAAACTAGCAGTGGCAGGGACCAGGCGGGACAGAAACTTCCTTCTACAGGACATTATGCCTTCCCTCTTTCCACAGAACAAAAGCCTGAATCAAACCACCTGGAAGGGCGAGTATGGTGGGGAAACCCTCAGACAGCTGTGGCCCTGATGACTAGCAACAGGAAATAAAAGGATCACTGAGCGATGGGCAGGGAGCAGAGTGTCAGTACTCATCTCGACTCTCCCTCCTGGAAGGCCGGGATCTCACTTAGACCAAAACCAAAGAGAAGGAGACCAGCAGCTTTCTATAAAGGGTGCTGACTTACTTCTCTTCTTCTTCTTCTTAGGCTCCCAGAGAGCTTCCAGGATTCATGTGACAAATGTCACAGCATGGTCACAATTCATTCTCAAGTCCACTTCCATTACATTTGCTAACTCCTAAGGTCCCAGTTTTCTGTATTTGAGACCCGTATGTTGCGGAACATGAAACTAATTTAATAAACCATAAAAGGATGGATCTGGCTCCTTCGAGTAACAGGAAAATCAAGAGGCTGCCATTGTGACAAAGTGGCCTTCCATTCTTCCTGTGCATTCCTCACATCTAGTTTATCGTCTGATCCGACCACTGAAAGTCCTCAGGACAAAAGCCTTTCTTCTTTGTGAGGCTATAGGCAGCTGCCTCAGAATGTTCCCACTGAGCTCTATAATCCAATTCAAGGTGAGTTTCATTCCCCCAGGTACCTCATAGTTATACAAATATTCACAGTTTAGAAGATGCATTTAATGATTATTTCATTCAATGCCTACAATTAGTAAAGGAGATATCGTTATCTTCCTTTGAAATGTGGAAACAAAATCTCCAAAAGAACAAGGGACTTTTCTGAAGACCACACATCTAGCTAACAAAGAGTGTCCCGGCGACTCAAACCCCAATCTTCCTGCTCTAGATTTTTCCACCAGTCTTGTTCCCGTTGCTGTGATCCAACACCCCAACCAAAGTGGGGTTTATTTTACCTCCCAATGCCAGGTTTCAGGTCATCATAGCAGAGAAGCGAAAACAGCAGTAGCTTGACATAAGCTTTAACTCGTCCCTCTCTGCACCTGACTACGTGTGGTGACAAGCAGCTCTGAGTTTCAGGTGAGCATGCTGCCTGCCTCATGATGATGGACCACATGATGCTGAGCTGTGAGCTAAAGCAAACCTCCCCCTCTAAGTTGCGTTTTGCCGGGGTATTTGTTTTTCCCTCAGCAATAGATAGAGCATGAGGTGTAAGATTTGAAGATATAGAATTTCATGGTTAGTCTTCCTTTATAGGTTTATATTGACTTCATGAGATCTAGTATTTTCTTTTGTCTTATGAGGTAAGGAATAGATGAACCACCACCTACATAGCAAAAATGGTTCAACATATAACATCAATATAATAACTACTAATACTTAATGATATTAGTGCTCATTTTGGTACTTATATTTATTTTGAAATTGTATGACACGGTAGGCTCTGCTGTTTATAAATATGTAACTAATTCATTAGTATTATGATCTGCCCACTATTTCAGGATTCAATGATCTCAGGCCTCACATATTTTACAGAACTCATAGTATTTCCAACCATTTAGCATATCAGCATTACATGGTATTATTTGTATACTGTAGATTTAGGCAATTACATCTTTTTAATGCTTGTATTCTTCCCAGAATTAGCATACAAATTCCTGAAGATGGAAATCTTGTTTCCTTTAGTATGAGCGAGCATTGCCTATGGCCTCTCACCTTGCCTACCCCAGGTCTCCTACCACCACCCCATCATCTCCTCAAAGGCTGGTACAGGGAAGTAATAACACTACAGAAGAAAACTGTTGCAGGATACAGTTTCCAAACAAGGTGAGCACAATGAAGTAGATGGCAGACCACATGCCCGAGCTGACCCCACCCTGGGAGCGGATGCCGTTGTACATCACCTCATTCCAGTCTTCCCCCGTTAGGATCTATGTGGAGCAAACAACAAGCAGGTCAAGACTCTGGCTTGGCAGAAAAGATGGGGCCAGTGTGAAGGGCAAGATACAAGGGATGGATCTTTTCCATCTATCCCTTTGCTTGACTTCCTGCTAAGGTAGGAGTAAAAGCCATTTCTATAAATATTAATTTTTTTTGGGGGGGGTGCTTTGAGACAGGGTTTCACTATAGCTTTGAGCTTGTCCTAAAACTAGCTCTTGTAAACCACACTGGTCTTGAATTCACAGAGAACCATCTGCCTCTGCCTCCTGAGTGCTGGGATTAAAGGCATGTGCCACCACCACCCAGCAAATAATTATATTTTTATAAGGAAGAGAATTACAGACATTCAGCATAAAAAGAGAAGGAGAAATACTCCTGCTCATCATATTTCAGAGTCCTTCCCATGCCCAGGTTGACCAGTCTGTGGGATTACATGGACCTGGTGGTCTGATCACTACCTGACTGTTCCCATGGCAAACAACACATTGTTCCCAAGACAGCAGCACGATTGGAAAAGCCTCAGTGGTTCTAGGTGGGAAGCTGGGTTCTTTCGGCCTCAAAGACTGCCTAAGTAGTATTTTTCTTCAGCTGTAAGAGTCTAAAATATTACTGATGTTGAATTTTCCTTATGACTTAAATTTTTTTTTCTCTTAATTGTCCCTACTGCTTTGAGATGGCAGGGTAAAGATATCCCGTTACTTCAATAAACTGAATACAGGTCAGAAAATAGTCCAGATTTTATACTAATCACCGATGTGATGCCTGAATGTCTCAAATCTGAGGTCTTGCAGATTCACAGGTGTGGGAAGAAGAACAACTAGCATTATCATAGGACCCTTTTGCTGGTGGTGACAGAGGCATAGGAGCTTAAGGGATTATTGTAATGATTCCTCAGACAGGAGGAATACTGCTCTCTTCTCAAAACAGGAGTCCTAACACTCAAGACACTGCCTTCATTACGGTGTGGCCTATGGGTCCCCACATTGCACTTCTGAGCTGTCAGTTGCCCTCATACCTGGAACACTGTCATGATAGCTGCAGGGAAGGTGTCAAAATTAGCTGAAGGAGTCCCATCATTAAAGTTAAACCTGAAAAGGAAATTCAGGGAGAATAAAGACATCATTTACCAAGTTTCGCAGTCCCAAGATTAAAGTTTTCATCACTTCTTTTCTCCTCATCCCGCCCCCACCCCCGACGGCTCTCCCTCCCATATGCTCTATGAAGATGGTAACCGCATTTCTGAAAAAAAAAATGATGAGGTTTCAATGGTACAAGTTGTAAGACAGAGTTTGGGCTGGTTGGCAGTTATGAGGCTCCATCCTGATCATTTCATGGAGAGCTTCCAAAGGTTAGGTCCTATATGTAACAACAGCAGAGACTTCTCAGGTGCATCCACAGACTATTCAGACCAAGAGCAAACAGGACGCTGACACACCAAATCAATCACCTTGGTACTTGCAGGCCTAAGACTACTCAGAGCTTCCTTTGGATGGAAAGTCCCCCTGGCCCTTACCTGCCTCCAAAGAGCTGCATTCCTAGGAGAGCGAAGACAACGATGAAGAGGAAGAGGAGGAAGAGCAAGCTGATGATAGACTTCATGGAGCTCATCAAGGAGACAACCAGATTCCTAAGGGATGCCCAATACCTGGGGAATCCAGACAAGGTTACAGCTGTTGACACAGTACCAAGTCATCCCCAAGGCTAGCTTGCCATCAGCCTACAAGTCTGAGATAAACTGTCTTCAAGTATCAGGAAGATGCAGTGGTAGCAGCGTGATCCTCCCCTAGGAAATGTGTCATTCAATGTCTAGTTTGGTCTTTAGAGAAGGGAGAGCTGAAGGGTGTATGAGATGGAGCAGGAAGGGGGAAGCAAGGAAGAGAAGTGAATAAGAGTTCAATTCTCAAAGGTGGTGGGAGGAGTCCAGATGTCATCACTTACTTGGTTATTTTAAATATCCTTAGGAGTCGGAGAGCTCGTAAGACACTGATTCCAAAAGATGTACCAGGTCTGAATATTGCCCAGACCACCTCAAAGATGCTGCCCACTGTGACCTATCAGATAAACACAGCCACAGTGAGAAGAAGGAGAGAGAAGACAGGAGCATCTTGGTACTTAGTCCATTGTTACCAACTCTCATTGGGCTCTGGGGAAATTGAGAAACTTTCTCCCCAGACAGTCCTAACTCTAATCAAATGATACACTTGAGAAGCTACCAAAGAAAACCATACTTTGGCACCCACACTCCACTGTTGCCCCTCTTCTTCCTAATTTTAAACTGGCTCACTGGGCATTGGTTTACTAACTTGACCTTCATGAAATTACAATACATAGTCACCACTTTTGCACAAATTTGATAGCAACGGATGTTCCTGCGTCATATCACCTTATAAACACAGGAAAAGGAGAGGTACTCACATCATAGGAACCAGTTTGAGTTAGTCAAGGCTGTGTTCCTATCAAAATACCAGAAAGGGTCCACATTCTCTCATCATTCTAGACTGCAACTTGGCCGAGAACATTTCTGTACTGTTGTGTTAAATACCTTTCCATGTAAATCCTCAATGTAATAATATCTGTGCTGACATAGGGTATGATTGCTATAGGAAGTCATAATTGCAATAACCATTTCAAGATTGTTGTTGCTTGTGGGAATTGGAGTAGAATCCAGGGCCTTCTTTGCACATGCTAGGCTAATGGTCTATCAACACTGCAGCCTCAACTTCTGCTTTTTATTATTGTAAGTTATGTGTAGGTGTAGGTATGCATGTGAGTGCAGGTGACCCAGAGGCTAAATCATAGGCTCCCCCTGGAGCTGGAGCTCTAAGTGATTGTGAGTTGTCTGACACGTGGTACACACCTAACTGGAGGTCCTTGTTAGGACAGTAAGCACACTTAACTGCTAAGCCATCCCTCACCTTCCCAACTTTTGCTTTGTGAAACAGGGATTCACTATATAGCCCAGGTCACCTTGTAATTTCCTACATAGCTTAGGTCGGCCTCACACTTGTTAGTCTTTGACTTCAGCACCCCGAGTATTGGGGCATGCCACAATGGCTAGCTTTGAGTTACTTTGTGATTATGCACTATGGAATGTTGACTGTGTTGTAGACATTGTCCTGGGGGAAATAATGAAAATCCATCCTCAAAGCAATGCTGAAGAGTGTGTCTATGAGAAGAGCAAGGTTAAAACAGTCTCCCACCGGCTATCATGCCTGGGAGTTGCCTGTGCTCAGAACTGTGTGTTCTTGGTGAAAATCTAGATTGGCAAGTGCTCAGAACTGTTCATCACCTGACTGGAGCTTTGGCAGAAAAGGGAATGGGTTTGGCAGAAAGAGAGGTGGCTCATAAACCTAAGGTCCTGCTTCTCTGTTCCAGTGTGAATCAGGTATGTGAACCAAGCATTGCGGTGTCTATCACCTTGTGCATAGAGGGCAGGCTAATCCCTAACACTCCATACCTTGAACAGGACTCCTGTAAGCAGTTCAGGAAATAAATGTGCAGGAATGTACCTTGAACACTATTAACAAGACACACACCTAAATGTTATACAGAAGGCAAGCAGCTAGACGGAATGTTCTGCAAGGAGTCATGCTAATACGAGGGTCTGTGAGTTCACATGAGGGCATACCTAGACATTTATGTTCATTTTCGAAAATAAACAAATGTATAACCTCTTTCTTCTAATGCCACCTCTAGAATTAAGTCCTTTTTCCTGCTCTCCCAGACTTCACCCAAGATAATAAGTGGTTTAAAATTCTGGCTATGTGTAGCTTTGTAAAATCTCATTGAGCTACACAGTTAAATGTACACTTTAGTATATGTGTTACACATCAATAGAAACATTAAAACTCAAAGAGGGTTTTAAAAAACCAAACAAATCTTTGGCCGGCAAGGATCCATTCACTTCTGAACTCCCTTTATCTCATCATACACATGCTCCTTTTACGACTTTGACTTCAGTGGCTCGTGCCGTGCCGAGTGACAGGCCAAGCTGCTTATCTAAAACCATGGCCTATCAACATGAAACAGAAGGACATGCAGGCTTCCGAGGACTTACCCCAAAATCAAAGCAGTTGAATGAGGAATGAAAATAAAGGCGTGGTCCCATGCCATACATCTTCAGGGACATCTCCAACAGAAAAAGTCCCAGAAACAAAAATTCTGCATAGTCTGAAAATAGTAAAAACAGAAACATTTGTCCCAGAGATGGTGTGAGCTCTTCTGCCCGTCACCTGACACACACCCCTTGTAGAGGAGCCCCAGATCTCAGTATGTAAGGAGATAGCATCGGGCAAAGCCTATTTTCTGAGCATTCTGCTCTGGGCTGAGCCCCTGGCCCAACCCATGGTTGCCATTTAGCAATATGAGAAAGGTTACCATTAGCCTTCTAGTAGAGGGTGGCCCTCAGAGAAGAAAGGTCTGTGCTGTGGCCTGACTGAAGAGGCTAGGTACCCTCATCTATACATCACAGTCTCCCCGCTATCACTGACACCCAGAGGCAATCATGTCCACACATTTACGTTCCTTTTTTTTGATCCATTTGATGTGTCCGTTGTTCTCAGGACTTTCTCCCCAGCTCTCAGTGATTCAAATTCTTTATACCACTGAATCCCCATAAGAAACTTCTAGGACCCAGGGCACAACACTGCTGTGAGATGCCTTTCTGTATACTGTGAATATGTTTTATGACTATTGGTTAAAAAAGAAGTCAATTTGGCCACTAATCAGACAGAATAGAGCCAGGTGGGAAACCCAAGGAGAGATACAGGGAGTAGAAAGATGGAGTCAGAGAGATGCCAGCAGCCGTCTGGGAAGAAAGATGTGAGGTAACAAGCCATGGGCTCATGGTAAAATATAAACTAATAGAAATGGGCTAATTCCATTGTAAGAGCTAGTTAATAATAAGCCTGAGTAAACAGGCCAAATAGTTTATAATTAATATCAAGCTTCTGAGTGGTTATTTTAAAATAACCTTGGGATTGGGCAGTACAGGAGAAAAAAACCAAGCTCCGTTTATACAACACTCATGTGTTAACTCATCAGTAGTATTTACCCCTGCAGATAATAAAGGCCAAGAGCAGTTGTTTGATAATCCATCCCTGCCTTGCTGCAGCTTTGGCATCCTTCAGTGTATACAGTCAGCATGCCTTAGGTTCTTTCAATCATTTTTACATAAAACCAAACCATCCACCTGAGGGGATAGCAATTGCTATTCACTTACAGAGGAGGTGAGTGAGCCACTGGGGTTGGTTGTGATGAACAATGGCCACACAGGCAGTATTGAGAGCCACAACACTCAAGACGATCCAGTAAAACACTTGGGATTTGACCATGTGCCGGATAGAAATACGCAGAAGCCGTTCCTTGTGCCGGAAATAGGAGGCCCCATCTACCTTTGTGCTCTTGATACTGGCTCTGGCAAGAGGTGTGCCTAAGGAAGGGAAATGAAGAGGAATGAGACTACAAAATACCCCAGGCCCACCTTCTCTGGCATCCACAGGGAAAGTTGGACAGCTTGCTTGAGTACCAGGACAAGGTGACCGGCACATTGCAGACCTGGGCAACCCCTATGTTATGGGCTAAATAATCTCCACAGGGAGGGACCCTGCTTTTCCTCTCCAGGCACTCTCAAGTCCTAGGAAACTGAAAGATTCCCAAGCAGGACACCAGGCAGACGCCCAGCATCTTGAATCCTAAGATACAGGATCGGGAAGGTATCTGTAAGAGACTGGGCTTCTCTCTTCCCTTTCCCTTTCAATATGCTTCAGACACCGGAATCCTCCTGCTGCTTTGTCATATTTCTGCCACGGGCAACATAAAGCAGCATGGGCTTTGTAAGTCTCTTCTGCTTTTTAGGATGGAGTGAGAGATCCTGCCCTTTTTCTGGGGAGGAAGAAACCTGTCAAGAGCCAGAATCTGCAAGAGAACCTAGGATTGAACTGCAGTCATATCAGTGGAAAGGAATTAGTTTAAGTTTCACAAGATGGAAGTAGAATGGTGCTACTCTGTTAAGCAAATGGCTTCAAGTTCTCCCGAGTGGGTCACTAGAAGAAATAGGTCCTGAGGATCCTTGAAAAATATGGGTTGAGTATCCCTTATCCAAAATAGATGGATGAGACACAGTTCAGATTTCAGATTATATGATAAAGTATCTTGGAAGAGGGAGCCATGTCTACAGATAAAATCCATTTATGCTTCAGATATCTCTTATATGCATAGGCTGAAGGGAGCTTTATACAGTATTTTAAATAATTTTGTGAGAGAAACCAGTTTCACAGTGTGGAATTTTCCGCTTGTGGTGCCACAGCATTGTTAAAAAACATTGTCTAATTCTAGCGCAGCTCAGATTTGGGGTTTTTAGATTAGGGATACTCAACCCGTATCCCAACGTGGGTTCTCACTGTCACACCCAGGAGAGAAAGGATACATCTGCAAATGAGATCCACCTGTCACACTTGAAGAACCCTAAGCCCTGAGTTTCATGTACACAGCATCCCCTGGTCCTTTCGTCTTTTCTGCAAACCATTGGCATCTAGGTTAGATTCCCATGCCTTCCCTTAATTACATCCCTACATTCGGGATCCTTTGGGTTCTTTTTGCTCCTTGTGGGTTCTTCTCAAAAGACAGGATCTTCATTTTCATGGGAGCTCCAGAGAAGTAAAAGAAGATCTAACTGGATCACTCACCCACAGAAGAGATATCAACGCAGTGCTCATCGCTGGAGTCTCGGGTCATGGCCTCCGTCCGGCTCCTTTTGATGGTTGCCCTTCGAAGCACTACGCCAGGGAAGGGGAAGGCCAGTGAGAGGCCATAAGTACACCCAGATCATCCTGGACAAAACTTTGAGGGCTGTGGGCTGAGAGGCCTTGTACAAGGGCCCTGTGACACAGGTGTTGGCCTTTAATACCGGAACCAGGGTGAGAGGAGTCTGAAGTCTACAGAATGGCGGGCAATGCTGGGCTTGCCAGCACCTGCAGATGCTCATAGGTTTTGAATCCTGGTTGGAGTTTATCTAAGTCTAAATGCAGTAGGTAAACAGACACTCCGTATCTACGTGTTCTGGCTCTTCATAAGCAATGGCACTTCCCGGTACTGAAACTGGACCCAAGATGATGCCCATACATTTTAAAAGAAGATCTCTTCATAGACCATGAGTTGTATAATGGTCTTTTCATTGAACTCTATCAATCACATGCCCTGGAACAATGCAACACTTGGGCTTCATTTCCATCACTTTAAAAGGCATTTAAATCTGTGACTCAATTCTCATCGTTTTAAAGCATGAGGGATTTTATTATGGAGAGACTTGTGTTTCAAATCCCAGTGCGGCCCCCCTCTTCTTTCTTTCTTTCTCCTCTTTGATGGAGAGAGAGTGCCACCGCCTAAGAGGACTAACGCCAACGAAGCACAGCTCAGCGCGCCTCCTTACCTTCCAAGGCTGATGTTCCAGCGTTTTTATTTTCTTCAGCAAGCATGACTTCCTCTGTATGGGAACAAATGGTTTAGTAAATTATCTGTAAATGCCAAATTATTGTACAAAATGAAAACCCCTCAGGGACAGTTCTGACTTAAGGCAACACGGCGAGAATAAAAACAGTTCAGAGCTCATTGTGGGTACCAGCATGGAGAGAAATGGGGCCTCACCAGGAAGACAGGCTGCTCAGAACAAGGAGGAGGCTGTGTGGTGAGGGGCTCATGAGGGGCGCTGACGAAGTGCATGCTACTGCAACAGATGCCCAGTGGGGGAGGAGGGAGAGGTAGTGTTAAAATCCCCTAAGTTTGTGAGGGAAAACGTTCTATTTCTGGTTTTTTTCTACCCTGGTTTCTTTCTTTGCTAACCCCTGAGAAAGTACTTCCTTCTTCCTCTCTTCCAGGCCACACCATCTGTCTCCCCATTTAGGAAGTGAGGCCATGTTTTGACTTTTACATGTTCACTACTCTGAGGCAGAGCCCAAGGGTCCCTGGAGCAAAGGCAGGGTTTAAGGTGTGCCTTCTTTGTGTCCCCACCAACTCTGCCCTTCTGGTTGAGCAGTGCTTGAGCTAAGGAAGTGTGGGGCAGTCTGAATCGGCCCCTGTGGTATAATAAGAAATTTATAGGTACACACACACATTTTTATCTCTGGTTCCTGCCACAGAGCTGTCTTTTATATGCTAATGAGATGAGTCAGAGCAGGAAAGGGCCCTGGATAACCTGGATAATTTAGGGATAGGAGCTGGTAGCCAAAAAAAAAAAAAAAAAAAACCCTCAGTGACATGATCAGATAGGTAAAATTCTTATACTCAACAATTTCTACCTTTGAGGAAGAGAAGAGAGCCTGGAGTCACAGTGCTTTTACCAATGACCAATAATTTAACCCCACACGCCCATGTAAGGAAATCTCTACACACTTCCCAGACAATGGAGAGTTTCTGGGTCAGTGAACACTGCTGTGAGCTTGTGGGCTGCTGAGCCTCATCCTATACATTATCCTGTGTATCCATAGCCTATACCGTTTATGCGCTGCATCCTTTATAGGAAGCAGTAAGGAGCTTTTTCTTGATGTCCAGAAGTTATCCTTTAAAAAAAATAATAATCACTGAATTGATAAGAGGAAGGGATTATAAGAATTTCCAGATGTATATTTGGACAGGCAGAATCGGAGCCCATCTGGGATCCCACTTCCTGGTTTCTAAAGTTGATTAGCCTAACAGGACTAAGGCTTTAACCTGTAGGCTGTGTGCTACTTTCAGGTGACGCTTAGTGTCAGAACCAATGCTTGAGTGCACAGCGGGTGCCAGCGAATTAAGGACCCATTGGTTCCAGAACATGCACTCCTTTGTTGGTATGTGAAAAGATACCACATGGTTCCTGGAACCACTTCTCCCAGGCTTCCTCTCTTCAGAAGCAGTCCTGTACTTCAGTGAGCTGTCACCAACTGATAAATATTATTTCTACTAAGACTTATGAGTAAACCTCACCAGAAACCTCTTCAAAAGGTACAAATAAAACACAGCCTCTCTGTCCTGTGTCTGATGAATTCCAAGGTGTCCCTCTAACAGTGATAGGGTTAACTTTTGAGCTCAACCCTACTATAGCCCATAGACATTTTGACAACCGTTTCCAAAGAACCAAGCTTGTTGGACAAAAGTTTGCAGCAGACCTTACTAAGCAATGATTTAATGGAAGCACTTATAACAAGTAGACAAGCACTTGTAGGCAGGTAGAAAAGGGTAAAGCTATTAGTGTAATTCTAACCTGCATACAAAATTGAGAGCGTATAGAATATGTTTCCCAGGGAACATTTTGAGGTCTGGGCACTACCATGCAGGATAGCCATTACAGCACATTCTGAATGTTTATCTGAGGTCTTCAAGTACAAGCCTCTGGTGAAATTCCACATTAGCAGATAAAGTGTCACAGATGGGGTGCTCCTTCATACAGATATACATGGTTTTTGAGACACTTCAGAGCACATTTGTAGGGTACCACTATAAAATCAAGTCCTTGATAAACTATCTCATAGCAAACTTAATTACCTTACCAGGAAGTCACTTTTGCTATGCACAGTGCCTGGCTTTGAAATGGTCAGATCTGAGAGCTCCCTGGGCAGATGGAAGACGTGGAGGGCTGCTGAGGACTTCTGAGAAACACTTCAAGGGCTCTGGATGTGCTCAAACCACCCTGCCCCCACCAATGCCTTTTGCCAAGTCCGCTTTCTAACTTGAGTCTTTCCAGGGAAATGTAACCCATATGTCTCTGATTCACTCTCGCTCCACTTGCAAAGGGAAGGACCAGGAAGCACAATTTGACTTTTCAGTGCGTCTTTTTTTTTTTTCTTAGATGGGGGAAGAGAACTGGCTACTGGGAGAAAGGGAATGTCGGAATTTTTCGAGGATTAAAAAAGCGCACTGCAAAAGAGCAGCGTTCCATGGCACCCGACCCTGGGTGGGGTCATGATAGGGTCCGGGAAAAGTCATTCCTGGGTTTGCTGCCAGCTCACTCAGCAGTTTGTCAGATGGCTCCACCGCTGAGGATGCCAAGGACAGTTGGAAACTTCAAGCTGGCTGTCTGGCCTGGAGGCAGTTCAGCTTGCCTTCCCATGGTCAGGCAGACTTATTTACTTACCATTCTGGGAAGAGGGAGGAGAGATTTATGTTTCTCTCACCCCTACTCAATAAGCTTGGAGGAGAAGGGGATGCAATGGACACACAATTGACAGCTTAGCTCCTGCCTCCAGGGATGACAGGAAATATGGATGGCCAAATCAGGGAGTATGTGGTCTGGGTGATAATCCTATATATCCCTTCTCAGCCCTTACAGACAATAAAAAATTGACTCCTGAGCTTAAAGAGGGCTTTGGGATGTTGGTGGTCACACTAAGTGTAACTGCATCATTGCAAGTTCCTATGGAAAAATGGGGCTCCTAGAATTAGCATCAAATTATGGTTCTTATTGTCCCTTTGTGACTTCACACTTTCTATTGTGTTTCTATTGGCTTTCTATTAGGAACAAAAAAGATGCTGACTGTCATGTGCAAGGTTTTCTTTAATTATTAAATAAAAATCACTCTTTGCTCTGGAGGAAAAATGAAGATATATAACACTGATTCAATCCAGTCCTTAAAATAATAACAAAAGCAAACGCTTCCTTTTTATTGTTCGGTACTAGGTGATTGATGTCTCTCATAAGCACCTGAGCCACCTCAACTCTGGTGACTCTGCACCAATGCCATCATGGTGGGTCTAGACCCATTCCTATAGCTGGGCCCTAATGATTGCCATGCGTGAGCAGTGAAGATGGCTCAGGTACCAGGCGGCTGAAACACCTGCCCTCAACTCCTATCTCCTGCCTGGACAGCTGCAGGGGTCCGCACCCTCATCTCTTCCATACCTCTGGCCCTGTCCTCTATGGTCTAACTCCAGTGCTGCAAACATAAGGCCCCTTTAAGATTCCAAGTCACGGCACCTCTGCTCACTGGGAAAAGTCCTGTGGCCCAGCAGGTTGCACACGGAACTGCTGTGACTGCCTTCACACTGTCTCTCGCCACTCCTGCCCTGATCTCTTCCCCTCTGTAGCAGAGCAGCAGTGGCCAATCCCTTAGGGAGGACTTGGAGTTATGAGTCCCCTCCCCCAGCTCTTCCCAAGGCCAACTGCTCATCTCCAAGTCTCTACACAGCCGAGTTCACGCCGAACCCTTTTATGGGAAACTGGAGCACAAACCCCCAACACAGCTCTGCTTGATCTGCTTCCCCCACTGTACTCATCACCTTCTTGTGAGTTGGTAGTTATTTTGTTTATCGCTTGCTTCCCAACTGCAGAAGGATGAGTTCCAGGAAACATGAGCTTTGGAGGCATGGTAGGCTATCTGGCTCAACTCTGTACTCTGAGTTCTGGCACTAAGTAGGCACTCAATCTTTATTTGCTGAATCTACAGATTACCAGTCCTAAGGTGGGGCAAAGCATCAAATATCACCAGACCAACTTGTGGAAGGTATTTAGTTGAAGAGAGAAGAGAGTCAGACCCTAGAAGATCTCCAAACAGAAGGGGAGCCTAAACCCTCACAGGGCTCTCAGCTCTAGTTTAGGTTGCCCACTGCATGGTCTTAGATGTACTGGGCAGGGCTAGTCAGCTATGCATGGGCAGTTACCCACCAGTGCCCTAATGCCAGGCCTTAGCTGCTCTGTCTCTCCAGGCACGGTAGCCATTCAACTTTCTCTCCCCTTATGCAGGCCTTACCTGCTTTGTCTATCCAGGCACGGTAGCCATTCAGCTCTCTCTCAATCTGTTGCTGGCGCCGCAGCTTCATGAATGCTCTCCGGTTCTCCACCCTCTCTCTTTCTTTGGCAAATTCCCTGTGGACAACAAGAACACTCCTCTGAGATTGCACAATGCCATGATGAAGAGAAAGAGGGAAGCAAGAGTGAGTATTTGATAGCTTCTAGTTACCCTATTTCTACTTTCCCTTTACCCAAGCTGCAAGATGATCTCCCTCTAGTGTTCTACAGAAGGGAGCTGCATTCCACCTCAGGCAGAGGCCTCCCCATCCTTTACCCTGCTTGCTCTATGCTGAAAAGAAGAGTTTAACTATTTGGCGATCTGCTTCAGAATGGTTCGTGTCTTTAGCCACAATGGCATCCTTGACCCTCTCAAAGGCACTTCTCCCCTTCATGCTTTTGGTAAGTGACTGAAGTATATTTGCCAATGAGTGTATGCCAGCCCAGGCCCACTAGCTCATCTAATCCCCACAAGGTGCTAATACAATACTGTTAACATTCCCATCTGTAGAGGAGACAATTTGGTGTGGGAAGTCCTTCGATGGTTTGCTTTTATTGGTTAATAAACGAAGCTGTTTTGGCCAGTGGCTTAGCAGAATAGGCCAAGGCGGAAGTCCCAAGCAGATAGAGGAAGAGAGAGTAGGTAGAGTGAGCGAGAAGCCATATAGCCCCTCTGGAGGCAGATGCTGGGGATGGAACTTTACCCAGTAAACCACAGCCGTGTGGTGATACATGGAATTAATGGAGATGGGTTAGTTTAGGATATAACAGCTAGCTAAAAATATGCTTATGCTATTGGCCAAGCAGTAGTGTAAATAATACAGTTTCTGTGTGGTTGCTTCAGTTCTGGGTGGCCGGGAATGAATGAGCAACCTCCATCTACAGCAATTAAGGCTTAAGTATCAAAATAACTTGCAAGGATGCAAAGTCAAACCATGTTGCCATGGTGTCCGGTATATCGTGGTGTTAATAGGGAATGACACTGAAGGCCAATAACACTTATAACATGAAGGACTAAAGGGCTGCTGATGGCTGGTGTCCATTTTATTTAGTGGACAACTTATAAGAAAGGAAGAAACAACGAGACAGAACCTGGCTCTTAGAAAGAGACGGCGGGAAGGTGAGTAAGGCAGAGGGCGGTAAGAGTGAGGAAAGCTGAAGAGAAAGAAGGTCAAAAGTAAGGAAGAGCCGGTGACAGGGAGAGGAACAAAGCATGTTTTAAAAAGGCTAAATCTTAGAGCTTGGGAGGGAGCTTAGTTGGTAAAGTTCTTGGTGCACAAGCATGAGGCCCCATAGCTTGAACCCTAGGACCCATGTCAAAAAATCCAGGCCTGGTGACATGCATTTGTAACCTCAGGAAGAGGGGAATGGAGAAATCTAGCTGTCTTCAGGAAGATCCTTAGGCCTCACTGGCTAACTAGCCTAGTTCAATGTCAGGTCCAGTTTCAAGCAATTAAAGTAGATGGCTCCTGAGTACTAATGCCCAAGGTTTATCTCTGATTTCCATGTGCATGCACACACACAGACACAAAGTCTTAAGCTCCATAAAGAGGAGGGGGAAGATAAGAAAGAGACAGAAGAAAAGGAAGGAAAGAGTAGATGGCTAGTACTCAGAGTTCCTTGGTAGAGAAAAGCCAATGGGTTATCAGACGGGAAAGAACCAGTCACCTGCTATTGGACATCTCCAGAAACGACCTCTACCAATGCCTCCTAACTATCATGCTCCCAGGCCAGCCACCCCTTGCTACTGTAGTGGCATAGGAGCACAGTTGGAAGCTAACCATATCCAGACAGAAAGGTAGAACAGCCGCTGTTTGAGTCCTGCCTGCTGATCCCTAAAGTCGGTGGAAGGAGAAAGGAGCAAGGGACTGAGGGAAATAACACAGTTGCAGCAGAGGGGATGGGATGATGGTGGAACAGGATACAGACAGATGCCTGCTCACGCTTTGCTTGGACTTTCTGTATACAACCCAATAGCAATGGTTGCTGTCAAGTTGAAGATATGGGGACAAGGCATATGCATGGTTGAAGATACAATGAGTCACTTAAGGTACTATGAAGGGAGAAGTAAAAGTAAAGAGTGACCCAAGGTAGGGAGGGTCTAGGTAGTGGAACTCAAGCCCAGGGATGCTTCCTGGAATCTTCTTTTCTGATTTTAACAATCAAGAAGTAATAGTGGTCTGGGTAATTCATAGCCTCACTACTCACCAACATTCTTACCTGTGGTTCTTTGATTCATCCCTCCTGACTTAGTGTCATTGTTCTGTTGGTTATACTATCAAAATAGTACTTGAACCCACCTTCCCTTCCTTCCTCACTGCCTTAACCCTGGACCCCATCTTCTCTGCCTGGACCATTGAAATGGTACCTACTTTGTTTCTCAACTAACTATGCATCTTCCTTCATTTCATATATTTTGTGCTATTACTCATCTTTTTAAAGGATCATTGTCATCTTAAACTTCCAAACCCCAAGTAAGAACCATGATAAATAACATTCATCTTTTACTTCATCAAGCCCCTTCCTACATGTTGCTCATTCAATCTCTACAGCTATTCTGAAAAGGCAATAAAATAGGAATTTTCATTTCCAATGTAATAGTTAAGTCATTTGATCTATTCTAAGACATGGAGCTGATATAAGCACCCAGGCCTGGTTGCTCAAAGAGCTCAAGTCCTTCCATGGTCCACCACTTAGCTGGCTATAGCCAACCCGTATCTCTTCCCATTTCATATTTTCATATATACTTATGTCTTGAATTTCCAACAAGCTCTTGGCACTGGGCTAGGAAAAATTTACCCCGAGGGAGTATTTTGAATAAGATCATGACAAAGAAGAATCTCAGTAGGGTCTGACCAAAGGGACAGGAAAATCCTTGAGTATGTAGGGCAAGCAGTACAAGTGTTTCTATTATCTGACTCAGAAAATTGAATCTGAAGGGTGTCAAGTAGCTCTCCGAAATAGCAAGAGTCCAAGGCCGGAGAACCATAGGAAGAAACCGTAACTCTAAATCCCACCTTCTTTCTATTCCATGTTGAACTCACTATAGCCCAGGCTGGCTTCAAACTCACTAATATAGCCAAGGCTGGCCTTAAATTCCCGATCCACCTTCTTTAATCAAAGGAGAGTTCTGGTTTATAGTAGCAGAAGGGTGGCCAGTTCTTTGGAAGTCTCCTGACACACGCCTGGGTTTAGGAGATGCCCATAGATAATCAGTTCCATCCTGTGTTTCTGTACCCATGGTGTCACAGAGCTCTAATGTGCTCTGTTTAGTCTCTAGAATTCCACAACAGAATAAAATACATCAGCATGGGATGCAGCAGAAGCACCACCAGGTCTGTTCTCAGAGCAAAGGATTCTGGGAGCATTTGCTACTAGTGGACAGGGAGGGGACTTCTCAGTTTCCTCATCAGTCAGAACTGACATTAGAAGGAACCACAAGGGGCCGGGAATAGTGTTTACCTGAATCCAAACTTCAGAGCCCACCACAAACAGAGCCAGATGTAATGGCTCGTACTTGTAATCCCAGTCAAAAGGAAGATCCTTGGGCTGGCCAGTCAGTCTAGTCCAGTGGTTCTCGATGCGGGGGGAGGGGGGGGGTTCATGACCCCTTTGGGGGTTGAGCAACTTTTTCATAGTGGTTGCATAAATCAGATATTTGCATCATGATTCATAACAATAACAAAATTACAGTTATGACTTAAGCAACCAAAGTAATTTTATGATTGGGGACCACCCCAACATGAGGAACTGGCTTAAAACGTAACAGCATTAGGAAGGTTGGGAACTACTGATATAGGCTAACTGTTGAGGCCTTGGCCAATGAGAGACTGTCTCAAAAAAACAAATGGCAGAAGTCAAATGGCTCCTGAGGAATGATAACATTCCTTTGTCCTCTACACACACACACACACACACACACACACACACACAGTGTTTCCAAGCAGAAGCTGTAACAAGTATGCTCTAGGAACAGTGATCTGTAAAAAGACAGTAGTCACAAAAACCTGAATTGGGCTTCCATGTTGCAATTTTCCTTTTCCTACCCTTGTGATTCATAATGTTGGACAGACCCTCTTCCCACTCAGTCCCCAGGAAGGATCATATGCAGGTTCCCTTAGGACACAGACAGCCTGGAAGAAGGTGAACTTGGATTTGGCTGACCCTCCATTCAGCTCTCTGTGTGTGTATGCTAAGTTCATATTCTCAAATTTCACTTATGGGACTGAAGAAGCCTGATTTTGCATCATGTGCTAAAGAACTCCTCCTTCCTTGTTATTGGATTTATGTTTGTTTTCTAGTACTTTCCATGTGAACCATATATTGTTAAAAACCAACTCTAATATACAGTCAATTCTAGATTTTCACAATAAGATAAAGTATTGCATGGATAATCTCAGACAAGGAAGGATGCCCCTAACATGCATTACACATGCCTGAAGGGGTAGAAAGAAAACAGAGTTCATTTGCAAATCATTCTTATATGAATATGAAGGTTGATTTCTACTTTGTGAATTTGTCGAGCTATAAGGAGCTATTGTCATAGGTAATTCACAATGTAGCTGATTTCTGTATTAATAAAGTGACTAGTGCTAGTCCATCAGGAGGTGATAGAACAAGCTTTGGCCAACCACAAATATAGGATTTATCATAACGTTTGCTGAGTCTTAGGGACTTGAATTGGGGGCCATTAACTTGCTTTAATCCATGCTATGCCACCTCGGCATCTCAGAATACCTGGAAGGCGGTCGCTCCACTCGTCTACTGACAAAATGTTCTGAAAAGCCTGCTGTAAAACTCTCTGGGGGAAGATGCTGGCTCTTGGCTTATCCCCTAGCTCCAGAGCGCTGCTCCTGATTCAATGCATACAGGGAGCTCTGTTTATTGGCGCAGAGGCTCTTGCTGCTGTCATGGCAACCCGAAAGGAAGACAAAGCCTGCCAGGATGGACTGGCCTGTATGACTCAAAGATCTGTTTACCCACACTTCTGTACACACTTGCATGCCTCATCACACACACATTGGCACAGACAGACAAGCTCACACCAGCACCCTGAGGCATATGCAGATAGATTTGCG